AGCCATTAGTTGAATCTTAAATGGGTTGGTGTTTTCATTTAAATTTTCTGGTCAGCAGCTGCCACAGATTTCACATTATGAGTCGTTTTCTGTAAATGGAACAGACATTAAATGCCACGAGTGTAGGTTACTAATAAGTAAAATACAAATCCCTCCATGTGGAAATTTTGTGTGGAATTCCCATTTTTCTAATATTCAGTGTCAAAAAACAAAAAAACAAACAAACAAACAAAAAAACCTCTTACAACTCAGGATTTGTAGATGTCAGCAACAAATGTGTTTTTTGTTCAGAGGTGGAGGACACAATAATAAAATGTATTTTATGAAAGCAAATTTACATTGATATTCTGGAGAAAATTTGAGAAATATTTTACCAATCAAACAAACAAAATTATTTCGTGAGCTAACGACACCATTATGGAAACAACAACCAACCTATTAGTCTTATTAAGTACATTTCATATTGTCAATTGTTGATAAAAAAAAAAAATCTAACCCATCTACTGTATGCCTTATTAATTCTAAAATTATAACGAGTCTGTTGAACAGGAGTTCGAGATTTAATGTACAATACCTTTTTAAAAATTACATTTATTTATTTTATTTTGTTTATATCGGTCTTAATGATAGATAGATAGAGAATAACCGAGTAACCTACACCAACCGGTGTAGGCCTTGTAACAAAACGCGCGAACTCGTCCACACAGCCACGCCCATTCGACCGCCACGGCTGCCGTAGCAACAACGACGGGCTGAAATAGCCTAGTGCTGTGGCTGAGGTTGGAAAGCAGCTGGTCCCGTCCATATTCCGATCTTAATAAACATTTATAACGCAGTCCGACCACTTAAAGAGCTGGAGGGACATAACATAAATCCGGGATGTGCTCCGTTGTCGGATGTGAGTCGTCGCGTCGCAGTGCGCAACGGTTCAAGTTACCGGAGGATCCAGAGAAGAGACTGGAGTGGGTTCAGTTTCTCGCCACAGCCAATAAGCAGCGTTTCAAAGAATCATCCTGGACTGATATCACTATTTGTAGTGAACATTTTAAAGATGACTGTTTTGTGTATCTGGCTCCCACTGGCTCGGTCCAGCTAACGCCTAGTGCTGTCCCATCACTGTGTCCCCAGCCGGAGTCAGACGAGCCTGAGCTAAATGTGGGGAGCCCAAAATGTGTGGTGAGTCTGCTGTGATGGCTCCAACTATTGGCTCCAACTCTGAAACGGATACAATAGTTTTCCCCTCACACATATCACAGCATAGTACTGCATAGCACTGACACATACTACATACAGGACAGAGTTCATTCAGTTTGAGTCAAAACACTGTTTTTATTTTTTTCAGCTGTAGTCAGTTGTTAATTAAATACAGACATACATGAAATTAAAACATGAGTATTAAGATTGCGACGTTTGGTAAATGTACAATAATTTTGCTTTCTCCCATATGTAAGTAGTTAGGTGTTAGGTGCGGGTCAAATGAAGTTCTTAATTTTTCCTCTAAAATTCGAAAATAAATAAGAGAAATGTGCAAGTACGTTAGCCATGTTTATTGTGAGTGTTTCCATACTGTATGTCTTTATATTCTTATTACCCAAACATTTCAGACACATTAGTAATGACGTTAAGTGTTACAGTTGGTATCGAACGTACAACAGGAAGCCCTGAATCACACTAATAAGCATTTTACAAACATATTAATACAACAAATGCTCAGTATGAAAGAGGAACAGGGCTACATTTTTTCATATGCACACTAATGGGGCCATTAACCAATCAGTTGGGAAGTATGCACACTGTGCAGTCAGTGCTCACATAAAGCTTCCATATATTTCTATCAAAATGTATGGTACTGTAACTGTTTTACTGTTGTTCACTTGTGACCTTGTGCTTTTGTTACTTTGTGCAGGAGCTTGTGGAAACCCAAGAAGTTGCTTCTCAGTGTTATCAACTTAAAACAGGTGATAATCCAACTTTCTTTTCTGAATCAGGACTGGCTTCAACTGGTTAAAGAATTATGTGTTATTTCAAATGAAATACAGTGAAACATTTTCTGATATGTTCTTTGTATTTAATTTGCAGCTGCTCAAGCAGGCCCTGTCCCAAGAGGTGTTTCATGTTCAACTGACATTACAGATACCTTTCTTCAGATGCAACCAAAAAATGTGAATATTGATATGATCAGAGAAAAGTAAGTTTTCTTTCATTTGTGCTTAACATTTTTGCTTTCTTTGCCTACTATTTACATCAAGTTGGTGTTTTAATTAAAAAAATGACTTTTCAGAGCTGCACTTCCTCAGACGAAGGGGAAGTATGTTGTAAATGAAAAAGGCCTGCTCCAGCTGTTGAGCACCAGGTGCCCTTTGTGTGGTTCTAAAGTAAAGGTGAAGAAAATTATCCATGGCATGCTCATCGTCTTGAACCAACAGTGCCTTCAGTGTGAGTACAGAAACCAGTGGAAAAGCCAGGTCAATGCCAGTGTCCCATCAGCTGAAGATCAACACCTGACAGGAGGCACAGAAGTAACTCCAGAGGTAGGACATCAGTAGTCAGATATACTGCACCATATCCAAACACACTGCTTTAGAGGTTGATTTACTCGTTGATAGCACTCTGCATCCAAGCTTTTTTTTCATTCAGTTGGATTTTTTTGGATTTTATAAACTGTTATGTTTTTTTCCCCCATACCCATTCTGTGTCATTGTATCACAGGCAGCGGCAACAGATGACTCGGGTGTCCCTGAGATTGTCGCTGTTATTGATGAGGAGAGTGATCCCATGAATGAAACAGAGGAATCAAGTGATCAGGGGGACATGGATTCAGATGACGATTGGAAGCCAGTGAGGGATTTGTTGCCGTCTAAAGTGCTACATAATGAATCTGGTGAGGAAACAGAAGATGACGAAGTAGAGGAAAATGACATTTATCCTCCACTTGCCCCCAAACACAGTCAGCTCTGCACAGAGTGTGGGAGGTTTTACAGTAAACGGTGGCCTCACACATGTGAGCACAAAGTAAAGCCCTATTCCTGCAATATCTGTGGCAAGAGATGTGTTAGTGAGGTTGCTCTAAATTCCCACAGCAGAGTCCACAATGAAAACTATGAGCATCCTTGCAAATACTGCAACATTACATTCAAAACAAAGGTGGATAAAATCACTCACCAGCAGATCCACCTAACTCAAGGAAAGCCCTATAAATGTCCTGACTGCTCAGAGACATTTGCCACAAATAAGGAACGCAGAACCCACCTGGAGGATCACAGAGGCCCCAAGCAGTTAAAGTGTCACATCTGTGGGATTGAATTCCTCTGGCCACTTTCTCTTCAGAGACACTTAGCTGTGCACACAGGTGTGAAGCCGTACAAGTGTTCGGTGTGCCAGCGTGGCTTCAACCAGGCGGGGCACCTCAAATCTCACATGCGTCTGCACACAGGGGAGAGGCCTTTCAAGTGTCAGCACTGTGACAAACGCTTCAATCACAACGTGAGCTTGAAGAGTCATGTCCAGCGTTACCACGCATCTGGGTGTGAACAGAAGAGAGAAAAGATAAATGAAAGGGCAAGTGACACTGGTGATGCTCAGGGTGATGGGAACAAACAAAGTGTTGACTCAGAGCTTGACAATTTAGAGGAAGAACAGAATGCAGAAGAGGAGGAGAAGGAGAGAAAATATAGAACTAAAAAGAATAGGAGAAGCACAGGCAGACCCATTGGAAGGCCTAAGAGCTATGCAGCAGACAACCTGGTTCTGGCAATTCAACTGGAAGGTCCAGATTCAAACACTAAGACTCGTAAACTGCAGGCGAAGAAGTTAAAGAGAACACAATACAGTGAAGAAGAAAGTGAGGATGAGCCGACCGACAGCGACATGACCATCTTTGATTCAATGGAGGAGGAAGGGGAGGAAAGCAAGAATGTGCTAAAGAACACAGCAAAATCAAGGGGAAGACCAAAACATTCTGACAGTGACTCGGATTTTAACCCAAAAGACTCAAAGAAAAAGAGGCACAGCAGCCAGATCAGTGGTAAGAGCTCAGGGAAGCGCAGGCGGAGACCAAGAAAAAATCTAGTGGTGTGAAGATTCTTAAAATGAACAGTCTAGTAATTAATTGGGTTTCTAGAGTGTGCGTTCATACACAACTAGACTTCCTAGAAAATGACATAACATGACAGAACATGTTCACTTAGGCCAGGGTCTTCATTAAATTTCATTGCCTTTTACTGTTAAGTAAAGATCAGAAGCTGATGCTTTGATTTCAAAATGCTTTTTAATCTTGTTCACTTTTGTGTGCACCATGGTTTCAGACTGGATAAAAGTAAACAGGACTGATGTGAAGTGCCTGTGTTCCTTTCTGCTGTGAATTTCCAGTGCTTTATCCTTCATAATACCGGTTGGCTGATGCATAAACTGACTGAAAGATGGTGACATGTGCTGCTAGGTGGAGAGGTAAATGTAGTTCCTCTGTACATCTATAAGGTCGTCTTTTGGGACGATATGTGTGTGAGCCATTTATCTTCAGAAGGGTTGGGTGTGGGTTTTAACATTTTTTGTGGCAGCAGGGCTGTAAAATGTTTCAGCTACTTTTGTAGTTACAAGCAGTTACATAAATAGCCACAAAGCCAAGCAGCTGTTAGAATAATATAATACATTACTTAATTGGTAATTATATAGCCCAAAGCTTAAAAGGGGTAGTTGGTGCATTTTCTGTGTTGGGGTGTGTGTGGCATTTTTGCCACACATATGCTTTTCGTTTAATTTACTCATGCTTCAAGGTATCTGTCTCTCAGATTTCTATCCAATACGACAGATGCGAATTGAATTTAGTTTTTGGTGTTCACACACTTGTCCAAATAAGTTACGTTAAGAGTAACATGAATTTCCAGCCACAGTGCCTCTCTACCCTGGATCCACAGTTTTTATGTTGCATGTCAAGTTCTAAGCATCCTCACTTTGCTTTTAGTGCCTAAAACTTCTGCGCTGTGATATATTGTTGTTAGATAGACACAGGGAAGTAGCTGTGTGAAGTTATTAGGTATTTATTATTTTATCCATTAAAGTAGTGACACACTAACAAAAGAGGAGTATATCAGCATGACAGATATTTATTTTTCAGGGTATTTTGCAGGGTACCTGCACATGTGGGATTGAGCCATATAAATATAAATATGATGCATATAATGGATGTTCCATGTGGAAAAGAGGATGGTAAAGCACTAATAAAAAAAAAAACATCAGAACTTTGGCAGAAAAGTGGAATTCGGACAGAAAAGGCAGAACATACTATAGACTAGTATCCTTAAAAGACAGAAGTAGAAGAGAGGAGGTAGTTTTATTTAGATTAAGGGTTGATCACACTGGTTTAAATAAGATACTGTTTCTATTGGGAAAAGTAAATTCACAAGTATGTGAACATTGTAGTATCACTGAAAATGCTGAATATGTAATGATGCCCTGTGTCGAATACAGTGTAACGAGGAAAGGTTGAGAGGTTCTGAAGAATAGGATTTGGAAGGGATATAATTCTTGGTTAACACCGGACTATATAATAGAATACACTTGTTTAATTTCATTATTATAAAGCAAAATAGATCCTGTTCTACATACTCCCGTGCGGTGGGTTGCGCTATGTACCTAAAATTAAAAACGCGAAGAAGAGGAAGAAGCAGCAGCAGTAGTAGTAGAGGAAGAACACCAACAACAACAAACCACGCGAACCTCGCCATGTAACCCCGTGGACAACCACTACCCGCCATCGTCGTAGCAGAAATGGCTCCTGACTATTGATACTAGGAAGGGGTACACATACTCCAGTCCCCGTAAACGTCGACAGTAACGCGGTCTGACCACCTAAAGTGCAGGAGGGATGTGCTCCGTCGTCGGATGTGATTCGTCGCGTCGCAGTGCGCAACGATTCAAGTTACCTGAGGACCCAGAGAGGAGACTGGAGTGGGTTCAGTTTCTCTTCGAAGTGAATGGACAACGACTTAAAGAATCGTGCTGGACTGATATCACCATTTGTAGTGAACACTTCACAGGTGACTGTTTTAGAAACCTGGGCGCGACTGGCACGGCCCAGCTGAAGCACGGTGTTGTCCCATCACTGTGTATCAAGTCAGAGCCAGACGAACTTGAGTCGGATCCGGAGAGCCTAAAATATGAGGTGAGTCTGCTTTTACCGGTGAAACCTGTAGCACTTTGTCCACAGAAAGACGCGCTTCGTATCACTTCAGACCTGCTACAAACTCGTGCGGTTGACAGTATATTTTCTTAATGGTTTGTTTGTTTTTCTGAATAAATCGGAGTTCATTCTCACTAGAGTGTAACACTGAAAAGTGCTTTCACTTGCTGTTATTTGCTGACAAATGGCGCAACTATTAGTAATTAAGCCAGAGACACAGGAGTAATATAATTGTCAAGTCGATTTAATGTTTTTCAATTTTGCAAGTAGACTTGTTGAATGGTTAGATATTTATAAGATTATCTATTAAAGTAATAACACAGTGACAAACCAGGGTTATATCAGTATGATAATTTAATTGGCAATTTATGTTTAATTTATTTTTCAAGAGTTTTGACCCCCCCCCCCCCCCCCCCCCTTCCAGTATTAAAGAGAGAAATAAAAAATCGCAGGTATCTTAGGTGTATAGGTATTTTCATACTTCCACATCACTAATTTATCCAACCAGAAACACCCATGTAGACTGACATGCTGATGTTACTTTGTCTAGGAGCCTGTGGGAACCCCACAAGTTGATTCTCATTGTGAACAACTTAAAGCATGTGATAGTCCATCTTCCTATTCTGAAGGATCAGGACTGGCATCAGTGGGTAAGAAACCTTAAATTGTGATGTGTTGAAAAATGAATTGGGAATGTGCTCAATATTTTCATGCGAGTTATAAATGTTAAATTTAATTTTCAGCTGTCCCAGTAAGTCCAGTGCCGAGCGATACTTCAGATGTTTTCATGTCTGATCATGGTCAGATTCTGCAAAAGATTGTGAATATTGATATGATCAGAGAAAAGTAAGTAAGACTAACTTATACTTATATTTTCATCACACCATGTTAGCTTTTTAAACCTGGATCTCAAATAATTTCAATTATATTTTGTTTTCAGAGCTGCACTTCTTCAGATGAAGGGGAAGTATGTTGTGAATGAAAAACGCTTGCTCCAGCTGTTGAGCACCAAATGCCCTTTGTGTGGTTCTAAAGTAAAGGTGCAGAAAATTATCCATGGCATACTCATCGTCTTGAACCAACAGTGCCTTCAGTGTGAATACAGAAACCAGTGGAAAAGCCAGGTCAATGCCAGTGTCCCACCAGCTGTATATCAAGACCCGACAGGAGGCACAGAAGTAACTCCAGAGGTAGGACATCACTAGTCAGATATACTGCACCATATCCAAACACACTGCTTTAGAGACTCATTTACTTTTTGTCATACTGTGTGTCCAAGAAAGCTTTAAAATGAAAGATATACAAAATCTACAATTTACAATATTTTGTCTGTATATTCATTTAAAACATCACATCATTTTTTTTGAATTCTAAATGTACTTGCAGTTATTTTCCGTGCTGGTTGTTATAGAATAAATAGTTACATTTCTGCACCCATTGCACCTCCTTGTTTGTTTGGCTGTGATATTCAAAACACCAACTGTGCTCTACAGATCTTAAAAAGGTTCAATTTTACCCATACCTATTCTTACCACTGTTTTTCTCACAGACAGCGTCTGAGGAGAGTGATCCCATGAATGAAACAGAGGAATCAAGTGATCAGGGGGACATGGATTCAGATGACGATTGGAAGCCAAGAGGGGATTTGTTGCCAAGTGGAGTGCTACATAATGAATCTGATGAGGAAACTGATGATGAAGATGATGAAGTAGATGAAAATGACATATATCCTTCACTCGCCCCCAAACACAGTCAGCTCTGCACAGAGTGTGGGAGGTTTTACAGTAAACGGTGGCCTCACACATGTGAGCACAAAGTAAAGCCCTATTCCTGCAATATCTGTGGCAAGAGATGTGTTAGTGAGGTTGCTCTAAATTCCCACAGCAGAGTCCACAATGAAAACTATGAGCATCCTTGCAAATACTGCAACATTACATTCAAAACAAAGGTGGATAAAATCACTCACCAGCAGATCCACCTAACTCAAGGAAAGCCCTATAAATGTCCTGACTGCTCAGAGACATTTGCCACAAATAAGGAACGCAGAACCCACTTGGAGGATCACAGAGGCCCCCAGGAATTAAAATGTCACATCTGTGGGATTGAATTCAACCGTTTACTTTCTATTCGGAGACACTTAATTGTCCACACAGGACTGAAGCCGTACAAGTGTTCGGTGTGCCAGCGTGGCTTCAACCAGGCGGGTCACCTCAAATCTCACATGCGTCTGCACACAGGGGAGAGGCCTTTCAAGTGTCAGCACTGTGACAAACGCTTCAATCACAACGTGAGCTTGAAGAGTCATGTCCAGCGTTACCACGCATCTGGGTGTGAACAGAAGAAGGGTAAAATAAACAAAACTGTAAGTGACACTGGTGATGCTCAAGGTGATGGGAACAAGAGAGGTGCGGACTCGGAACTCGACAATGTAGAGGGAGAAGATGATGCAGAAGAGGAGGTGCCTAGACCTAAAAAGAATAGGAGAAGCACAGGTAGGCCCATAGGAAGGCCTAAGAGAAATGCAGCAGGCAACTTTGTTCTGGCAGGAGAAATGCAAGACCCGGGTTCAAACAGTAAGACTAGAAAATCAAAGCAACAGAGGTTAAGGAGAACACAATGCAATGATGAAGAAAGTGAGGACGAGCCGTCCGAAAGCGACATGTCTTTTGACTCAAAAGAAGAGGAAGAGGAGAAGACTGAGAAAGTAACAAACAACAAAAGCAAATCAAGAAAAAAGCCAAACAATTCTGACAGTGATATTGATTTTGACGCTGAACACGCAAAGAAAAAGAGGTACAGCAGCCGGATCAGTGGCAAAAGCTCAAGGAAGCGCAGGGGAAGACCAAGAAAAAATCAAGTAGTTGAAGACACTTAGAGAGACATTGGGCATTTGTGAAGAGGAATACAGTTTAGTGACATACACAACTTTTTCCCATGATAAATTGGAACCATTAAGTATTATGAGAAACTAAACATGTTCTGTTAGGGCTGGGGTCTCTTAAAATTCATTTGCTTTTGCACTGTTAAGAGATATCATCATTTTACTTTACTTTTGTATCCCGTTAACTGATCAGACTGGGTACAAGTAGATTAAACTAGGCAGATTTGAACTGCCGGTGTTCTTTTGTGTTGTATATTTCCGATTCTTTTACTTCCATAATACGGGCACACACTGTATATGAATGTGTTAATTTTTGGAAGGAGCCACATCTCCTAGTGCCAAAAGTTAACTTGTACTGTACGCCTACAGTACCCTTCAGTATCTTTGTCTTCTGTGAAGGTACAATATGTGCAATTTTCAGAAGGATTGGTGTGTATTTTAACAATTTTGGGGAAACTGAAGCTGAATGTTACAGCTGTTTTTTGTAGTTCAGAGACAACAAGTTAACTGCAGTAACACTACAGCCAAGACAGCGCTTTGAGTGGAATGACGTGGTCCCCACTGTCAGTTTCTACATTATTCTGGATAGTTTAAAGGTGGATAATTTGAATTCACACAACTAATTCCTTTTGTACGCAAATACTTATTCCTTATTCCATAATGTGAAACATAAGGTGTCCAATATGATGTTCGACTTCCACAATAAACTTTTGAAAACTGAAGTGAATTTTGAATATTACCATATCCTAGACAAATGGCAACAGCCAGGCTATACAGTTAGTTTGGATTTTGTTTGTCTATGTTTCTTGATATCTCAGATTTCCATCTCAATATGAGTGAAAGGAAAAATAGATTGCTTTTCATTCACATCCACTTTATTGAGATGGATGTTAAAGGATGTGTTCACCGTTTTCCAAGGCTGATTGTAAACAATCAGGTGCTGAAACAGTTTCTGCTTGCTGTAGTCATTCCTCCTGTTCATACTAGCCATTAAGAAATCCCTTCCCATTGGGATTCCAGTGTAAGTAATAGGGGGCCGTCTCCCTCCTGTGCAAAAAAATTAATTAAACCGACTGTTACTTATTCACTTCATTTGAGCAACCCAGGGTGCAGGATCCTCCTATTAGTTTCAGATTAACTTTTTAATACATTTTTAAATGGAATGAGTACTGTGGATTGTCCCCTGTCACGTGCATTGAAAGCATTAGGAAGGAGTCTTTAAGTGGACAAAAAACGAAACCTGTTTAAATGTTCATATGGGATCCTCCCTATTGTTTTAGGGCAGACTTTAGGAACTGAACCTATCGTTTAGTGTGTGTAAAGGTGTAAAAGCTCAACAGACCCACCTGCTGGTGTCCTCTTCGACCTGCATGTCAATACTGTATCAGTGCATACCAGTGCATCTGCGTTAAGGCACAAGCCAGTTTATTACAGAGCTACACTTGTTTGGCGTCTCACTTTATCAAGTTAATAGGCGATTTATTACATATCAATGAGTCACGTAATGCTTTTACAATCATTGTACTGGGCTTTATGTTTCCTGACGAGTTTTGAGTTTGTCTGTTAAAAGTGCTTTAACTTTCAGAGTCTTCGTTGTCTAAAGATGGCGTTCCTGTACCTCGACAACCCGTGTGAAAGGTATGAAGAATCTTCTGAGTAAGTAATAACACCAAAACACAACAATTTCGTGTCAATTTCATGTATTTAATCGAAAGCCGGGATGCGCCTGACACCAAACCACGCGAACCCGGCCAAAGAGCCCCGCCCATCCCGTTACCACGACAGCCACCAGCAAAGATGGCTAGCTGCTAGCTTGTTACAGCTGCTGCCGACCCTGCACTCTGGCCTCCCGCCCTGTTACACTTCAACACTGTCCAACCACCTTTAAACCTGGAGGGACAAAACTTAAATCCGGGATGTGCTCCGTCGTCGGATGTGATTCGTCGCGTCGCAGTGCGCAACGGTTCAAGTTACCGGAGGACCCAGAGAGTAGACTGGAGTGGGTTCAGTTTCTCTTCGAAATCAATGGACAACGACTTAAAGAATCGTCCTGGACTGATATCACCATTTGTAGTGAACACTTCACAGATGACTGTTTTGACCTGGCTGCAACTGGCACGGTCCAGCTAAAGCCCAGTGCAGTCCCATCACTGTGTATCAAGTCAGAGCCAGACGAACCTCTGGAGAGCCCACAATCTGTGGTGAGTCTGCTGTGACAGCTGTGGTACCATCTGCTCCTCATCCCCCGTCCTGCCTCCTCAACACATCAGAGGATCACACACTCTACCTGTCAAACAAATCCAACTTTTCCAGCTGAATGGTTGGAGTTGTGAGCAGCACGCTGTTTATTTACAAAATATGTTTTCAGTGGCTCTTAATCTCAGTGAATAAGTAAATAATCAAGTGATCAATCATAAAGACAAGTCAATGCCAGAGTCCCGGTTTTCATTGTCAAGGTGTTTATCACATTGTGCAGTGACATACTAACAAGTTTCAATGTAGTCTAATACATGAGTTTCTGAGATCTTTATTCCATTTTCCATAGAATTAACATCACCCCACTGAGACACATCTGAGGCACGTTGAGAGTCATAGGCTATGATAACAACTATTTGTGTATTCACAATTAATCTTTTAAATGTAATGTATAACATAATCACAATGAAGTCAATACTGGAGCCTCAACAATTAGTCGATCCCCAACTGTTTTGATAATCGATTAATCATTTAGTTTTATGGTTCCATTTTCTCAAATATAAGAATTTTCTGCTTTTGTCTACACTATAGCAAATCTAATATTGTTGGGTTTTGGAGTGTTGGTCAGACAAAACCTTGTGCTCTTGGAAATTGTGATTCTGACACTGTGTAGGAGCAGGATAACACGATTATTCCAGAAAATAATTGGCAGATTAATCAATATTGAAAATAACTAAAATAATCAGCATCCCTTCACTTCCTTTCATACATCATAAAGCCTGCATGAAGTAAATCTTGTTCACATATTTTTATAGTCATAAACTGACTCATAGTGCATGTCCACATTTTGTGTGTCCTTCCGTGATCCTGCTGCTTGGACTGACAGGTGCTTAATGGCCAATTGACTTCTCCCTGTAGTGCTGCTGAGGTCACACACAGTATGATGAACATGTTTTATATCACTCGTGCCTAGTCTGTGAGACCGTGTCATCCCACTGCACACATTTACAGATTAATGAGACCATTCACAGTGCAGTTGTTCACTACACTCATTGTTCAGTCACTGCACACACACACACAGCTGTCATATATACTCATGGTACTTTAATGTGCTGTGGATGGAAACATCAATCAGTGACATTTATGGTGCAGTTAAGTGTTTTTTTTTTTTTTGGTGCTTTTGTGCAGGAGCCTGTGGAAACCACTGAAGTCGCATGTCAGTGTGATGACCTTGACACTTGTAACAGTCCAACTGCCTACTCTGAAAAGTCAAAACATACTTTAACAGGTAAGAAACGTTTCATACTGTGTTGTAATAGGATATTAAATGGTTACTTCATTTGTTAAACAGTTTCTTTACATGTGGATGCTGAACTTTATTTTGTGGGTTTCCAAGCAAGTCCGGTGCTGCCTCAAGCGTTGTGTTCACCTGGTGTTTCAGATGCTGTCACCACTGGACATGGCCAAAATGTACAAAAAGTTTTGAATACGGATTTGAACAAGGAAAAGTAAGTTACACTTTTACACAACATTTGTTCTTACATTGAAAAATCAGGTTAGCTTTTTAAACATGAAGCTCACAGGAGTTCATTTTAATTGTATTTTAGAGCTGCACTTCTGCAGATGGAAGGAAAGCACGTTGTGAATGAAAGCTGCCTGCTCCAGCTGTTTCGCCGCAAATGCCCGTCGTGTGGCTGCAAGCTTCGGATGGAGAAGGTCACCTGTGGGGTACTGATCATCTTGAACCAACAGTGTCTTCAGTGTGAGTACAGAAACCAGTGGAAAAGCCAGGTCAATGCCAGTGTCCCAACAGCTGCAGAAGTAACTCCAGAGACCCAAAAAGTAGGTGTATTTGATTACTCATATGAAATAAACAGTTCATTTAGAAAAGAGATTTTCAGACAAGTTTGACACTGTGCTTTTGTTTGGAAATACAATTACCATAATTCAACTTGTTTATCTTTCACAGGAATTGCCAACAAATGACAACCCCTGCAGTGCAGTCTCCTCTGAGATCGTTACTCTCAGTGATGAAGACAGCAATCCCTCAGATGATGGAGAGGACGGTGATGAAGGTGGGGTGAGTACAGACGGGGAGTGGAATCCAACGGAGGAGATTTTGCTGGCTGAGGAGCTCAGAAAGGAATCTGAGGAGGAAACCGAAGATGAAGGTGAAGAGGAAGACGATTTTGATTCCCCTGGTGGCCTCAAAATTAACGAGCTCTGCACAGAGTGTGGAAGCTTTTTCAATATTCTGAAGCCTCACACATGTGAGCACAAAATTAAGCCCTATCCCTGCAATATTTGTGGCAAAAGATGCGTCACTGAGACATCTCTAAAAACTCATAGCAAAATCCATGATGAAACGTATGAACATCCCTGCAAATACTGCCACGTTACCTTCAAGACAAGGGTGGACAAACTTAAACATGAGCAGATCCATCAGGATAGCAAAGATCCCTATAAATGCCCCGACTGTCCAGAGACATTTGCCACAAGTAAAGCGCGCAGCATCCACCTGTCAAACCACAGAGTGCCAAAGGAGTTCAAATGTGGAGTGTGCGGGATTGAGTTTAAGGATGTACATCATCTTCGTAGACATTCCGTTGTTCACACGGGTCTGAAGCCGTACAAGTGTTCGGTGTGCCAGCGTGGCTTCAACCAGACGAGCCATCTCAAATCTCACATGCGTCTGCACACAGGGGAGAGGCCTTTCAAGTGTCAGCACTGTGACAAACGCTTCAATCACAACGTGAGCTTGAAGAGTCATGTCCAGCGTTACCACGCATCCAATTCTGGGCGTGGACATAAGAAGGGTAAGATCAATGAAAGAGCAAGCCACACTGGTGATGCTGAGGACAGTGAGAGTAAGAGAGGAACAGACTCAGAGTTTGACAATGTAGAGGAAGAACAAGACACAGAAGAGGAGGTGCAGAAGGAGAGAATAGATTTGCCAAAAAGTAGAAAGAGGAGCACAGGCCGACCCAGAGGAAGGCCTAAGAGAGATATAGCGGGCAACTTGGTTCTGTCAGGGCAAAATAAAAACAGGCGCTCAAAGACTAAGACTTCAAAATCAAAGGTGCAGAAGTCCAAGACAACTGGTTCCAGCGATGAGGAGGGCGAGCGGTCGGACAGCAGCATATCCTTTGACTCGGAAGAGGAGGAAGAATCAGAAGAAGAAGAGGAGAAGCAGACAGCGAAGAAGAGCACAGGGAGATCTAGAGGAAGACCAAAAAACGACAGTGACTCTGATTTTCACCCAGAAGAGGACACAAAGAAAAAGAGGTACAGCAGTGACAACAGTGGTAAGAGCTCAGGGAAGCGCAGGGGGAGAGCAAGAAAGAAAGTAATGGTCTGACATTTCTTACAATTAACAGAGAAGAAAAAAAAATTTGGTGTGAGCAGATGTGATAAGAAAGGAGCAATAACGACTGGATGGCCACACAGAACTGGAACCCTGGAACAGTTAGGAATATGAGAAACAAAAATACACAGAAGTGTAAAATGTCATACATTTTTAGTGTTCTGAGATCATATTTACACTTATTTACACAGTTCATACAAAAAGCCCTTAATTCATTATGTCTTATGAAAATACGTTCAGTCCTTTTAGGAAGTGCTAAGAAAGTCAATGATTGTTCCAAATCAATGTGAAGCTAATGGAAGGAGTTATTTAGCTTGTCTTGGTGGCTTCCATCAACGACTGGGTGCATTGTAACACAGTGAATGTCAGTGTAAGGTAAGATAACTGCGAATTCCCTTTGGAAAATCTGGGTTAGATAATCACCAAATGTTGGAAAGAAGGATATTGCTGCTTTAAAATATGTATGTATCTATTCATGTGCAGTTTTGTAATAATAATGATGTCAGTTTCAAGCTAAAAATACATTTATACTCTTAAAAGTCCAGGCACTGTAGTATAGTCTTTTTTATATCTGTCACTCTTTTAGTCACTATGAAGCTGCATAATTATGTTGTGTGTCTTGTGTGTAAGGAAAGGAAAAGCATTCAGATAGAAAATCATTTGTTAAATGTTTTGTTTCATAATTCGATACTTCATAATTTTGATTGTTGGCTAGTAAATCAGACTCAGTCTATCTTAACGTTCTTGCCTTTGAACTGATAGACACAAGTGGTGCGTTTGATATTTCCACCTGATGTCTTCATAAAAATGTCAGTTCTCCTCCTCAGCCTGAGCTTCAGTGAAAACCGATGTGGCCTGTGAAAGAACTTTTTTAAGAAATGCAGTGGTTTTGCACGCTTTAGCTCAATAGGTACAAATTGATATCATTTACATCATGACTGAATTTTCCAAAGTATTTGGATTGATCTGCTTTCTTTCAGGAATCCACTGGCTTCACTTCACATCAGTATATTACCAAAATCAACTTTCAGAGACTCCAAAGTAGTTGTATATGCAGCAGGTTATCCGTCACAGTGAAGTAAAGTAGGCCGTAGTGCTGTCATGATCTGAAAATAACACGTTTATGAGTAGGGACTGTTTTGAAACTCACCCTCTTGGACAGTTTTAGGACAATCTGACGTTTGAGCGTTCATATTGTGATGTTGAACAGCAATGCAAGCAAATGCCCAAACTCACGGTATGCTTTTATGATGTCGGTGCTCGATCACAGTTTGTCTTCTGGATTTGATTTACCTGACAACAGAGGTCACCTTTGTTTTTTTTGACAGATCAAACCTCAGAGCTTCCCTGAATGCACCATTGAGGATGGCTCAGGGAGGGAATATTAAAACACAAGTGAATAAGAAAGTAAAACATGGGTTTATAAAGAAATAAGTGAATAAAAGGTTGGAGGGTTCTTCACTGTTTTGAATCACCTCTCCCAAGTCTCTGCTAGTTTACTGCCATACTAGACAGACACTAACTAGAAAATAGTTGCAACTAATATTAAATATATACAGTTTGGAGGTAACGGCATAAAAATTGCAAAATACATGACGTGGGCCTTCAAAGGTTTTCTGATTTTTTTACATAAAAAATAAAATATAAATGTGTGTGCCTGCCATTTTGAGTGTCATTTTTACCATATCCATTAGCTTATAGAGTTATGTAAAAAACAAACAAACAAAAAAATTAAGTTATTCGCATTTTTACTTAAATAATTAAATCAGACAGAATAGTCTGGCCAACTTCAGGAGAGATGTTGTGCATGTAGTATCTTGCCAAAGGAATAACGACGACCGAACAGTTTTCTTTACCTTGCAGTTTTTGGATTTAAACGTGCATGGGTGTATCTGGTTTCAGAGTTCCCACTTTGATCTAAACCCCTGAATGACTCACTGCCTGCTTACATGTTTATCCCCTCTTGCTCTCTGCCAGTGCTTAAGCTCGCTTCAAGGCCCATCAAGTTTTTCTGAGAGTTGGAGAAACTTCTTCGGCTTTGCTTTCTGGCAAAGAGTCAGCCTGTTGCTGGCTGAGCTCACGGCTGCTTAGTAGATTAGACACACTGGTGGTTGGCAGATCTACATGAGGCCTAACTATGTCTGGAAAACAGAAATGAAAGGAACTTCTTTGACTTTTAATGAGCTACAAACCCTGTCACTTATGGGATGTACTGATGTATGAGTGTACTGACATGTGAGGGCATGAGAAGCTCTCAATCAAATACTTGATGTTTGCAGTTTGTCTGGAGTACTAGCTTTCAACAGTACATTTGTAAAATCCACCGTTCAGCTGCATTAGCTTTTGATAAGAGCCAAATGAACAGGACAAAATGTGAAATGAGCTTCATATTTGTAGTCCAGATTTTGTCACATAGGCCTGCTGGGAAATTTGAGGAACAGTTAAACAGAATTAGTTTAACAAGACTTTAATTGTTTGATACATACTGAAATTAAACTCAGAGACTAACTCATACAAAGGAAACTGGTACAGCGTGTGTGATAGATTTGTCCTCCAAGTTATATATTTTACTCAGGTCCAGTGATCTGTTTAGAATGATTTTTATGAATCAGCTAACTTTGCACAGTGCGACTAAATAAAAGAGGGACACAATCAGGCTTTTTAAGTCAGCACACTCAGTCAAGAACTTTGTGATGGACATAATATCTTGGTGATGACCAATTTTTTAAAAGGATTAAGGAATACTAGTGCTGGAATGGAAAAAATGAAAACAAATTCAGTAAAATATCTGCTGTAGGTATTTAATTCAGATGAAATTCAGACCGATGAGAACAGAAAACATCTGTTTTTGTTCATTTTTGAACTCTTTTTGCAGTTTACTTTTCTGTGTTATTTAGTCTTTTAAGAGCTGGGTCAATTAGACAATTGACAGACAATGAATTAATTCAGTCATTTTTTCATGGTAAAATGAGAAAAATTCAGGTGACCCATTTTCTATGTCTGATCTAAATTGTTTTCTCTCCTGCGTTGAAAAGGTAAAAAAAAAAAAAAAAGTTCTTGCCAGGATAATCTGTCTGAAGTTCCTGATTTTTTTTTTCTTTGTGAATTTTTTCTGTGACAATAATAATTGTCAGGACTGAATGTTTGTTGTTGTGATACTCATTTCGGCCACAAGAGGCTGAAGTACCTATAGTCTTAATAGGACTATAAGTACTCCATATACTCCAGTAATTTCTCCATACACCACAAACACAAGTTACTGTGCATAGTGTGTCAAGTAACAGATTATCCTGGCAAGAACCTTTTTTTTTCACCTTTTCAACACAGAAGAGAAAACAGTTTAGATCAGACTATGCAAATGGATCACTAGAATTTTTTTCTCACTTGTCTCTCAGGGCTTCTGTAAACTGGATGATAACTGTCTTATCAATGAATAATCAAAATAATGCGTAGTTGCTGCTCAAGTTTTGCTGTGACCTCGTGCTCCTCCAATAAGGTGACACTAGTGTCCTGCTAGTCATGAGAAAACCACTAGATGTCCTCCTTGTGCCACGAACACTGACTGATCTTCAAGCAGTATAAAGTGGGATCGCAGCCATCCTTCCAACACACGTTCAGTTACTGTGGCAACTGTTACTTCTCTGGCAGTGCCTCAGCTTGTCTGTTGAGTGGGTCCAAATTGTGTTTTTTTTCTCCTTTCTCTTATCTTTTGCCTGTCTTCTTTTCCTCCTCTGCTCTTCCTCTCTCCTCCTCCTCTCCTCTTCCCTGGGACCCAGTGTATTTTCCTGGGAGAGAGCAGGTTTTTATCACATTATCTCTCCCACTCTGTTGGACTCTCTCCATACTTGACCTCCTGGTCATGCAGATATCCTATAGCCACCCCGGAAAGAGTATGGGTGTATTGAGAATTAAATAGGAGCTGAGACGCACATGATGTTTGCTGCTGGGGCTTGAAAAATTCTTGTATTTACTAACATTAGAAGCACGTCATTATACAAGTATTTCTTCTTCTTCTTGTTTCTATTTCTGTTTTTCCATAAGGCCATGACTATATACGTATTATTTTCTTCCTCTGTTTTCTGTCTTTTCATTCTGCTGTTTCTGTCCACTTGCGTAATGCCCTCCCTCACTCGGTGTGATGATTTGAAGCTGGTCTTTTTCAGATGTCAGTTAAATAATCTGAGCTGCTCTCTGTTGACAGAAGAGTAGATTGATGCTTTGAGGCCGACATGAGATGAAGAGTGGATCATGGAGAAAACAATTTTGGCATGAGCTGCTGCCATCAGTGTGAGGATAATATATATTTTTTGGCACTATAAATTCACCCACTAGGATTCTCGGATTCTGTTCATTTTCTTCCTCAGTGCATGTCAGATAGACAGGAACATTATGGGAAAGAAGTGTGGTAAAATAACTTGAGCTGAGATTAAGGAGTGCATAAACAAGCACACAGAGCCACAAGAAAACTCTTTTGCATTTATGGTTTTTGTATTTGCCTGAGAGATCAGATTTGAAAAGGTTTCCCACACGGGAACTCAGATGCCGACCAAATGTCATAAGCCAAACAGATTGTGGATCCACCTGGGCCAAATGACATTTTCTCACTTACCAATTCCCAGATAACATTACTTGCTTATTGAAATACACTTGGCCTTTGCACTGTTCTCCTTTTTTGTCTTCTGCGCTGTGTTTTATTATGAAGTGCATGACTCGTTTTCGGGAATCCTTTTTGTTTGGTTGAACTACTTGACTACCTCAAAAGTGATATCTAATAAATTGTGCCTAAAGCTAAAAACACTCGCACTTGAAATTACAAATAGGCTGAGGCAGGGAATGATTGCCTGTAATGATACTTGATTACAATTAATGTTGTCTTTTAAAGGAATAGGATAATAAGATTGATACCACGCTGACATCTGTCTGTTAAATATGAAGCTGGAGTCAGTTAGCTTAGCTAAGCTTAAAGGCTGGAAACAGGGGAAACGGTTAGCTTG